GACTTAATTAGACACCATTGGACCATTAGACTGTCTATTGAGTCTATTGGCTTGTCTATTGTCTATTCACAACCCTGCTTATACCCAATCAAATTATTTAATAATTGCTGTTCTAAAGAAGTTACACGAACAAAATGTGCAATTTTATTGGCTAATTTCAATTTCTTTAATCTGAAATTTCATGCCTCATAATCACCTAATAGTTTCATGCCACAAACATACCCTAAACCTTTCTAGCAATTTGGTTGGCCTAATATCATGTGATTGACTTGGGCATGAATTTTTGGGGTACGAAAAAGAATTTCCGATTTTTATCGAATAATATCACGTGTATAAAAAGCAAAATTTTATTGGACGATCTTTTTCAATTCCAAATTCTATTAGAATTGAATTTGAATTGTATCACTCCAATTCCAATACTGCAGGGGACATATAAACTTATAAATAAGAATTTTTTTAACTTGCTCTCAAGATAATAATAGCTATTAATATAAATTAGCTTTAACCAATGTTTATTGTTAAAATAATACTCTTATATATGAGTGCCGCCAAGTGAAAACCCGCAAATATTATTAGATAAGATTAGTGGGTTTTCTCTTGGCAGCATTCATATGTAGACATTTTGTTAATATAAGCTATTTTCTATTTTGAAAAAGAAATCGTAATAACAACTATGAGAGTAACTAAACATGGGTCTCTATCATTTTCCCGACAAAAATTGACAGGAACTAATACTAACCCTGGGCCAACTTGTCGGGATTTTTTGACATTGTCGGGAAAGGAAAATGATAGGATCCCGAATTATATACCTGAGTTATCGTTAAATTCCCATATTTAAGCAGAATAAATTTCTTTTTTTTATGTTTTTATATGTTTATATATTGAATTACTGTATATCCCTACTTCAATTATAAAAATGCTCTGGAAAAAGGGGCATAACCCAGGTATGACTGTCTCATCACCTGATTGGCACAAATAAAAGATACGATAACGATAATTTTCTTTAGTTTGAGCAAAATGATTTCTTCTTTTCGACGCTTGTCACCCAGAATTCTAGCTAGCTTTAAAATACAAAACCGCCTTTTCTCTTTAAATGGGTCTTCTATGAAAGAAAACGATGGAGACAAAAAAAACCTTTACTTATCCTCAGTGGCGACAAGAATAAAGCAAATATATGATGAGAATAAAGTGGAGACGAAGAAATTATATGATGAAATGAAACAAAAATTAGAAGCAAAGAATTATGAGCATATGAAAGAGAAAATTAGATTAAGAGATGAGCATATGGAAGAGATAATTAGATTAAGAGATAAACATAAAGATGATGAAGCCGAATTAGTTGCACGTACAGCAGATGTGCTTAAACTTCGAAAAATCTGTAACGTTAGATCAGCTTTGGAGTATATCCGAAGTCGGGTAAGTTTTTTGTGTCAAACTTTTTTCTTTACATATTATTTATTAGAGTTTTCTGCAATAGATTTCTTACAAGACAGGCGAGGATCCTTTCAGGTTACGTGAACCTGCTGATTTTTTGTTAGAGAGTTTGAACAAAGATCCAGAATTTAAAAAATGCCTGGAAGAGACATGTGATATGAATAACGTACATATAGAAGCCGTGAAGAAATGTATTGGTGGCCTGTATCATACCCCAACAACGGAATTTCATGGGCATGACAAAGTTGTAGTTTCTGCAAAAGATTGGGCAGTAAATGAGATAATTGCCTTGGGTCTCATTTTCAAATATTTTCATATTCCTTTCGAATATTGGGATGAGAGGGAAAACCTGACAAATTATCCATATAAATTAGCATCTTTTACAGTTGTTTTCAAAAAGGTGTGAACAACGATTTCCACATACCTATGTGGGGAATCGAAGAATTGGGAAATTATCATTAGTAAAAATTGAAGATCCGATTAGAGCTGGCTTTGAAAGTTTTGGAAACCTGGGTAATTTCGTGCATTTCCCATGATATAGTTATTTGCGTCTGTTCACACCTTTTTGAAAACAGCTATAATCATAGTGCTATTCAACTGTTTTAGTTTTTGTACTTGGATCATTCAAAGTTTTGTACTTGGATCATTCAAATAAAAATCATATAATGCTTTATTAATTAATAAATAAAGTTTAATTATCTTGCGAAGTAAAACTATGTTATTGTTTGCTATCAATTTATAAAACAAAATATGAATAATAATGTTAGCAAAAAAGTAATGGTGCCAAAAAAATTTGGTGGTCCTGTGATTTCCGAGAATTCACTGAAAGTTTAAAAATTTAATTCGAAATACATTTTAACGATTCTGATTACAATTTTGTGTAGGACATTTTCCGGCCTGATTTTTCACGGAGAGCCACATTTTTTATGACATTACTTTCTCCAAGTGTACCAGATCACGTTAATTTACACGTGGATCCGTATACAAATCAGAGCTACTCTAGCTACGTTGTAAGATAATGTTTTATCTGATTTCAACTATAATTAATCCGGAATCTTTTAGAAATTGCTACGTAATAAACTTGGTTTATATTTTAAGTTCATTCATTTTCTACATCGGAAATTTTAGGAATGGAATAATTCTAGTTTTTGAATAAATTCTTAGCCTTAACAAATTGATTAGCCAATTTAAAAAAATCTACCAGATAAGCCAATAATTTGCTTTAGCCGATTTTTTTTCACTATCGACCAGGATTACTATCCTGAAGTTAACAATCCATATAAATTGCTACTCGTGCCCAATCACTAATCGACAAACCGAGCGCAGATTTACTTTATTGTAAGAACTGACCATAACGATAATATTGTTAAATATCACAGAAAAGACAATTGTTGAACTTGATCCTGTTGATGATAATGAACGGGTTGTACAAATAGTACTAAACAATATTCAGACATGGCAGGATTTGTGAAAACTGTTGGAAACAAAGAAATGATTAAATGTACAAATTTCTGGGTAGGGATGGATCAGTCCGGTCCTAATAAAACCGGTCCATTAACGTTTTTTGGTCCGGGCTCGGTCCCAAAAGCGGACCGACCTCTAATTATCCTATTGGCTAGCGGAGAGAATTAAATCTTATAACATCGGTAATTGAAATAAGTGATTGTCTAAAATAATTTTTTAGTATTTTTTAATTACATAGCTATTTATGAAGACCGATCCGAACTGGCTTCAGGACCGGGGACCGGTTAATCATGTAATCATGAGACCGGTTAAAGAGACCGGCCCTTATTCGGTCTTTCCAGGAATGATCCATCCCTATTTCTGGGTAACGTTCTAATAATCAAATGTTTTTTATGTTAATTAACCAATTTGGTTAATTAAATTTATTAAATACGTATGATATTAAATGATGGGTTAGATGCATGGAGGGTTAAAAATTTAATATTATTATATAGATAATAAATCACCAATGAGTTGATTTAAAAAATTTAAATCAATGCCGGCCGATAAGTAAACTGAGATCGTCCACGTCAATATTGTATGTCGCTTAAGAACAATACGGCACGTTCAACGATTGCCTCATTACGCGCAGAAAATGTAGGCAGAAAAATACCAGAGGTTCTTCCATTAACGATTTGCGATTTCCAGCATTTTCGCGAATATTTGTACCTACGTCCAATAAAAATGCACCTAAATAGTTTTGTTTCAAATGTAATGGAACATGAGAAAAGCCGTGGACAAGATAGATTCGGTTAGGGTTGACAGTTGGGATCCGAATCACGTTGAAAATATTATCGATTTCATCCCACTTCTTGTCCGATAATAAGCGTTGAAATTCGGCCCATTGCTGACTGTCTAACAATTGTTCCCAATCGGCAAACAGTAATGGGTTTTGTGATTGCAATGTTGTCTTTCCTTCGCCTGATGGTATGGCAGCAAACAGGGGTCTATCAAGATTAAAGGTAACAATTTTGTTTCTAATGGAATAATTTAATTGAAACGAAATTGGATCATGCGAAGCTTTATTCTGATTATGTGGAAACAAACAAACAAATAAATAAATAAAAGAAGGGTTAATATTCTTGATTGGTTGAAATAAAGATTTTGCAATCACAAATATAGGGATCTTGTATATCACCGCATTTAATTTTGATCTTAGGTGCGATACAGCCATAGCAGTATCATAAATGATTTTGGATCCTTGATTTGACATGACCTCGGAAATATCAGTTAGAATTGTAAGTTTTCCTAAGAGCAGTGAGCGACTATTAAACCTTGTTGCAAGCATCTTGCTGTAACTGCTTATGCCATAACGGCATAAGCTTTTAGTTATGGCATAAATCATAACAGTTTAGTCTTGCAGACAATTTAGGAATACGAACCCGATTTTCAATCGCATGATCATCACCGACCTGAAAAAAAAAAAAAAATCAAAATTAGGTGTAACATTAGGGTGTGCAACGGCCTATTAAAATCATATAGTTAGGGTCACTAATGATCATTACTAATTGCGGATTTTCTAATGGGAATTTTTGGGTTTATCTCAGAATCCTGATACTTAAAATTCCGATGCTCAAAAC